AGGAAGTGGCTCATCTTTTTTTTTTTTTTTTTTTTTTTTTTTACCCTGAGATTTGCACTCCAAAGTGTTTTCTTCTAAAATTTTAATTGTCAGGGATTATCTGTGTTCTCTCTTGTTCTCTGTAAGGCCTTCCTTTTTCAAGTCCTAACTCAAAATTCCTTTGAAACAAAAATGAATCCACAAGGACTCCTCCTGATTTATGATTTCACAGAAGGAATTTTGATGCAAGTGAGAAAATGCAAAAAAGATGATAAGCTTTATTTACTTCATTTATTTGAGCCCTCTGGGGCCATCTTCCCTTGTTGTGCTGCTGTGGAAAACAATTCAGTATACGGAGGTGTACCCTTGAATATAGAACAGAGAGCATCTGTACAAATGTAGGCAGCCACCTGCTGAACCTAAATTGCCTACATTTGTGTATTTAATTTAACACAGAATTTATTAAGGAATTATATAATTCCTTTCAAATGAGTAATTAATATCTAACTGAATGTCACACTGGAAGACATATATTCATTAGGGAATACTGATTTTGCCAGGAACGATGTATGAGACATAAAAACAGAGGTCTCCTCTTTTCCCTCTAATTCCTGTGGGCTGGTTCCTGAAGTCCTTAATCAGTAAATCACATTCACTGTAGGGTGCTTGACTCAAACCAGAAAGGGACATAAACTTCTATGGCTCTGGGATGAAACCTGAGGGTGGGATACCAAGTCTCTTTTTGACAGGATGAGCATTGCCCACCCTGTTCCCAGTGTGTAGAAAGTAGGAAATAACCAATGACAGACAATCTATGATGGCATTTTAGTATGGAGATTACTCAAAAAATCAGTCTTATTTTTGCAGATGTAATGGAGATGTCTTGCACTACCCAGACTGAGCTGCTTTCAGAGACATCATAGAATCATAGAATGGCTTGGGCTGGAAGGCAACTTTAAGATCACTTAGTTCCATCTTAGGTCCAACTCTGGTGCCATGGGCAGGGACACCTTTCACTGGACCAGATTGCTCAAAGCTCCATCCAGCATGGCCTTGAACATTCCTAGGGATGGGGCATCCACAACTTCTTTGGGAAACTTGTGCCAATGCCTCACCACCCTCACAGTAAATAATTTCTTTCTAATACCTACTTTAAAACTACTCTCTTTCAGTTTGAAGCCATTCCTCCTTGTTCTGTCACCACATGCACTTGTAAAAAGTCTGCATTTCTTCAAGACTCCGTTCAGGTGCTGGAATGCCACAATTAGGTCACCCTGAAGCCTTTTATTCTCCAGGTTCAACAACCCCGTTTCTCTCAGCCTTTCCTCACAGGAGAGCTGCTCCGTCCCTCTGATCATCTTATTAACTCTCCTCTGGACATGCTCCAACAGGTCCATGTCCTTCCTGTGCTGGGACCCCAGAGCTGATGCAGCCCTGCAGGTGGGGTCTGAGCAGAGCAGAGCAGAGGGGCAGAACCCCCTCCCTGGCCCTGCTGCCCACGCTGCTCTGGATACAGCCCAGGACACGTTTGGCTTTCTGGGTTGTGAGTGCCCATGGCTGGGTCATGGCCAGCCTCTCACCCACAGCACCCCCAAGTCCTTCTCCTCAGGGTTGATCTGTTCATCCCCAGTCTGTGTTGGTACTGGGGGTTGTCCTGACACAGGTGCAGTGCCTTGCACTTGGTCTTGTTAAACATTATGAGGTTCCCGCCGGTCCAATACTTGAGCTTATCCAGGTCCCTCTGAATGGCATCCTGTCCTTCCAATGTATCAACCACATCCCTCAGCTTGGTGTCACTTTCAAATTTGCCCAGAATGCACTTGATCCCTTTGACTATGTCATTAAATAGCACCATTCCCTATATAGAGCCCTGAGGAACTCCACTTGATACTGTTGGATTGCTGGGCTGTTTATTTTTCTCAGCTATGTTATTCCTCAGTCTTGATGTTTAGAAGTCCTCATACTTACACTGTGCCCATTACCTTGATGGAATTCACTTCTGAGGCTTTTCCCTTCTCCTTGGAGAATGATGTTCCAAGTACTCGTCTACATAAGAAACTAATGAAAAGTAGGAATCTCAACCTTTAAAATGGATCTGAGAGCTTTCCTTTCCTCAAACGGTGGCTGTTGCCTGATCTTGATGTTTCCTTGACACCAACTACAAATCCTGGGAGAAGGGGCGAGTCTGGTTAGCTCGACCCCTTTCCTTGTTGTGCACATCACATGTAGCCGCTCCCCCCGCCTCATGCCGCCGGCAGTGGAGGATAGATGTTCGGCTGGGCTTTCCCAGAGCAGCCGAGTGGAGCACACCTTAATCTCAGGGTAAAATCCTCGTTGACTGGATTGTGGTGAAGAAAAGAGAGACGGACTCTTGCTTGCCGTTCCCAAGTAGCTTTTATACCTCCCCCATGAGGGAGACAGAGCAGAGTTACACAGACACACACAAGGAAGGGGGCAGAGGCAAAGAACCAAGAAAAGGGTTTACAAACAATTTATACGGCGAGGCTGGCTCCTGGGAGGAGACAGCCTCACAACCAATGGGCTAACTTCAGGGTGGAGTATGAGGTGGGACTAACATTAACAAAAAGTCAGTAAGGTACAAGAGGGGAGGAGAGTATATGTAAGTAACCAGTGGAAGGCAGGGAATTACACAAATGACAGGGAAGGTTCTGCGTGGAAGGGAAGGGTTTGCAATGAGTGACAGGGAGTAGGGGCAGGATTGCATAGATTGACATAGAAGGGACTGGAAAGAGGGGTAGGTACAAGGGTTGATGGATGGGTATACGGGAAGGGCTTAACATAAGAACAAAGCATTTTATAGGAAGGAAGTGGTATCTAAGGAGGAAACCATTACAAATATTTGGAAATAAAACATAATGAAAGATTAAACAAGTAAAGCTAGAAAACTTACCTCCACATTTACTTCCTGTGTCATCAGAAGCACAATATTGAGTAATATCACTCTTGCCTTTGCTGAATTGAAGTAGAGACCTAAGGGAAGACAATGGCTATTGATGTCTTACCAGCTATCACCACCCATTTGTACTCAGAGAATCCTTTACCTTGGAAAAAACCGTAAGAGCATCAAGTCTAGCCATTAACTTAGCAAGTCTACCAGTATTCCTATTCCTAAGCGCCACATCTACATGGGTTTTATATACCTCTAGAAGTGAGGCTTCAAACTATGTCCTAACTATGTTCCATGGGCAGGCATGTTCCAGTCTTCCACAACCTTTTCTGAAGTGAGATTCTTTAATATCCATTCTAAAACCTCCACTGGTGCAACTTTGAGGCCATTTCTTGTAATCCTATCAAGGAGAAAAGACTCATCGCCCCCACTGGCTACACCCTCTTTCAGGCAGTTGTGAGAGTGATAGAGTAACCCCTGAGCCTCCTCTTCTCCAGGCTAAACAGCCCCAGCTCCCTGAATCCTTCTCATAGGACTTATGCTTCAGACTTTTCACCAGCTCCATTGTCCTTCCTCTGGACACACTCCAGCAATTCAGTGTCTTTCCCGTAGTGAGTGCCAGGCTCCAAAGTGAATACAGTGTGGCCTCACCGGTGATGAGCACAGGGGGATGATCCCTTCCCTCATCCTGCTGGCTACACTATTGCTGGTGCAAACCAGGATATCACTGGCCTTCTTGGCCTCCTGGGCACACGCTCCTCATGTTCAGCCAGTGCTGACTAGCATCTTCAGGTTCTTTGCCTCAGGCACCTTTCCAGACACTGCCCCAGCCTGCAGCACTGCCTGGGGACTGTTGTAACATATCAGATCCCAGAGGACAGTCCTGCACAGCCTGCTCTGAGGGGGTCCATATTCAGGGATCCTCATGGGCTGAATTATGACAAAAATAATGCCATGTGATTAAAGTTTCATTTACAGTAGGAATGATCTAAATCTTACGGTAAGTTGAAAGGCCTGTGGCAGCAATGATTTAAACTTTTCTTGACAGCCACAGATTAAACGTGTCTGAACAAATGTGACAATGGTGATTTTTGAACAGCCTGCAGCAGTGATTCAAACTTTTAAGCAGACGAAGAAAGGGAAGAAGGAGAGTTAGGAAAATATAAGTTGAGGAAGCAGATCTATGTCACCACCTGGGGCTCCAGTACTGCCTCTGGTCTCTTTCCTCTGGATGGCAGCTGCATGGATGATGGATATAATTCATCCCTCTCGCTCCCTCTGCTGTGCTATTTATAGACTAGTCCTTGCATGCATATTTTGTTATTCTCTAACTTTTTGAAGGAGTTTGGATGATCTCATGGTTTCAAATTTGTTTTTAGAAATATTTACCCAAGATAAGGAAGCTGGTCCCAGAGAAGCACTATGCTGTTTCTGCAAGACCCTTTTTTTCTAAGCACATCTTATGTAGTTGGCATGGTAGCATTCCTTTTCTCTTCTGTCAAATGTTTGAGACATTAGCTCTTTCAGATTTGCATTAAATCTTTCAGGTTTTCAGTCTCTCACACAATTGAAGGGTAGGATCTGGCATTTGGCCTTGTTGAACCTCATGCCATTGGCTTAACCTATAGATCCTGCCTGTCCAGATCCCTCTGTAAAGCCTTCTTACCCTCTGGCAGATCAACACTTCCGCCCAGCTTGATGTCACCTGCAAACTGAGTAAGGGTTCATGCAATTCCCTTGTTCACATCATTGATAAAGATACTAAAGAGGGCTGATCCCAATACTAAGTCCTGGGGAGCATGACTGGTGACTGGACCCCATCTTGATCTAACTTCATTCACCAACACTCCTGGGACCCAGCCATTCAAACAGTTTTTTACCCAGTAAAGAGAGTGACTGTCCAAGCCAGGAGTATCCAGTTTCTCAGGAGAAGGCTTTAGGAGATTGGCATCAAAGGTGTTACAAAAATCTGGGTAGACATATCCACAGCCTTTCCTTCATTAACTAACCAGATAGAAAACAATCAGGTTGATCAAGCAGGACCTGGAACCTGTGTTTCACAAACCCAGGCTGACTGGGCTTTATCCTCTGGTTGTCTCGCACTTGCCTTATAATGACGCTACAGATGATTTGCTTCATGACTCCCCTGACGCTGAGGTAAGGCTAACAGGCCTGTAGCACCCCATGTCCTCCTTCCAGCCTTTCTTATAGATGGGAATAATATTTGCTAATCTCCAGTCTTTAGTGGCCTCCTTGGTTAGCCAGGGTGGCTTGTAAATGATGGAGAGTGGCTTAGTGATGACTTCTTTCAGCTCTCGCAGTACCCATTCTGATGCAGAACTCTACTAACTTCATCCCATTCTCATACCTACTGCCAGAAAACACTTCAGGCCTCTGGTAAAGTATTGCCTGCCTGTGATCTGTTTCTTGGTTCTGGTACATATTGACTGTTTCAAACATAGAACTGGGCAGTGACTAGCTTGAAAAAGACCCTCTCCATTACTGGGTTCTCCCTGCTGCTGAGGATGCTGGATATCTGATGTGTTCCAGCTTGTCTTTTCTTGGCCCTTCTTAAAAACTACATTTGCTTTAGATTGTTGAAAACAGTATGCCAAATGGCTGGAACATGTGTGCCATCTAAATAAGGACCCCTTGAGGTTGCTGGTTATTTTTTACTTTTGAATTTCTCTTTTTACCACTATATCTAGTACTTTGCAATGTGAATTCTCTCTTCTGCTTTACACAGACTTTTGAGAGCCTTGTATATTTTGCTAAAATGTATCACCAATACAGTGTATTCAGAGGTTCAGGCTCTTGTCCATTCAGCATCCCTCGAGAAGCAAAGTGGGATATTAATACTATAATAGCTCCTATACTGGCTGCTTCTCCTGGCTGACTGCCAACGGTCTAAACAGGTCTGCACACCAGTGGAGAAGTACTTCTGATGTAAGAAAGTGAATTTTCTTGTGCCAGGCAGCAAACTCTCTGCCCTATACCAAAGGATTTGGGCAGTGAAATAGGTTGAGGATGTTGATAGTTGGATGGTCAAGTTTTCTTCTTAATCTTGTTGTGGTTCTGCAAGGTTGTCCTATTAAATAACACTACCCCAATATCTTAAGTAAGTTAAGTAACACTACCCCAGTATCTTAAGTAGCTCTTTTAAAGCAGTATCTGAGAAAAAGCTGACTATTTGGCCATGCTGATCTTTCTTTGCCCGACTGGTGTTTTATTGTAAAATTGCTCTGATGTTACCTCCCCATTATTATTATTATTATTATAACTTATATAATTATAAGCCTGCTATAATTATTGCCCTTTAAAAGGAGTTATGTCTTCTGGTGTAATTCCACTGTAGAACAGAGATAACTCTATGTAAAGCCATTGCCCTTGTCGGGTGGAATGAAGAGGAAACCCGGCCTGGCTGGGGTTATCAGGAGTTGCCTCTGTTCCTTTTGCAGTGTCCATGTTTTAAAATGCAAAGACTTGTGTATTTCACTAACTGCTTGTATCATATCCAAACTTTCTTAGCTGCTGGAGGTAAGGGAAAGAATTAATTTCTTAGTGTGTCCAGAAAAAGAAGCATATTATTTTCTGGATCAAAAAAGAAATAATGAAATTATTCTTCACAGGAGAGGTTACATAGCTCATGAAGTGTTGCCACAGAAACCTAAATCATCTGAAAGCCTGTCAAGAGACATGAGAATATGGATTTGACCTCCATTTACTTACCTCCTCCTACACTATGTCTCAAGTATCTTCATGCCTCTCCTGGGAAGAGGAGACATATCACCAGGACCAAGATGGAGATAAGAACCACTTAAAAAGGTAAGCTGCCCTTGCAGCTTTGTTCAGGTCTTCACAGGTAACCTCATTTTTTAAGAAGACAGATCAATGCAGTTTTTATTCCTTCTCTGTATGTATGCTAACATCCTGTGCAGGAATCATATAGACAGAAATAGGTAGTTGGTAATACAGCAGTGCATTGATGGTAGCATTGAGATCTCTTTGAATTTACCTCATTTCCATATCTAACAGTCCTACAGGAATCCTAGGTAGAAGCAAGGCCATGGTAATTTCTGTATGTTGATCCAACAACAGCACCTTTAGGATGTACTGAACATATTTCTGGTATACTGCATAGCTGACATATATATTTAGTGGATGAGACACATCTAAAATATACAGAATTTCCTAGGTCTGAGCAGTTCAGGAAGCATGAGACCCTTTCTGTGTTTGCTGCAGAGTTAGTCTGGGAATGTACAAGCGATGTGTACAAGAAATATAGACACAATGCTCTCCAGCTCTACTGCTGGTAAAACAGGTGAGCTGTGCATCTAACTATGCCCTTGTTTCTCAATTGCACTAACTTGGTGGTTTGTCTTTGTGGGAGCATTTCCCCTTCCTCCTCAACATCACAAATTCTCTTCCCCATGCACTGGGAGAAAATTTTCAGTTACACAGTTACAACAACCCTACTAGTTTTGGTAGTAAGTCATAAGTAGAAAGTCAGATGATTTTACCTCCTCTCTGCTCACCTTTCAGCTAGCTAGCATGGATAGACAGATAAATATTTTAGTGTATCTCTGTACTTCATTTTGTTATGCTGTGCAAATATAATAGCTTATGACTGCTGCTTATTATTGCAGATTTGTCCCAATGTAAACAGAATTTTTTTTTTTTGGAAGTGAAAGTGATGAAAGTTGGGGAATAACAGGCATGTGAATATATCATTAAAATTACCTGGCTTAAATGACTGAAAGTTTTACTTTATTCTAACTGCTGCTTGTTTGCAGCTGCATGTTTGCAACAGCATAAACTGCAATTTCTACATCAAACACATAGAAAATGTCCATTTAGAATGACTTAAGTTGTGAAGAATATGACCCACAGGTGCAAAATATACATATCTACACACTTTTGAAGATTTTTTTCTGCATAGGCAATGTCACCAGATGATATTAATTGGAATAGCTTCAGTGAAACCAATAAAAGAGGCTGCTATGTTCAAGGTGCGGATCTGTCCTTCTGTGTTTGGATATCCTTAACTTCTCCATATCTGAAACGTATGTATATTTTGGTCTTTTTTCAGTGTTTAGGTCAGCACCTGAAGTGTAAATCCAGAGCTCAAATAAAAGGTATCACAGCCACATTTGGTTATAATTTACAATATTTTTCCAAACACTGCAAATGGAAATCTTTGTCCAAGCCTCCTCAAAGATCAAGTTGCATACTGAATAAATTTTCTTATAGGCCCAGATTCAACAAAAACTGCAAGTTTTCATTGCGCTATTCTCTAAGCATTGCTAAGTTTTAGTGATCCCTACTGTCATGGTTTAACCCCAGGCAGCAGCCAAGCCCCATGAAACTGCTCGCTCACTCCCCTACCAGCAGGATCAGAGAGAGAATCAGAAGGGTAAAAGCTGGAAAATGCATGGGTTCAGATAAAGGCAATTTAATAGGGAAACCAAAAGCAGTGCACATGAGCAAAGCAAACCAAGGAGTAAATGCACTGCTTCCCATGGGCAGGCAGGTGTTCAGCCATCGCCAGGAGAGCGGGGCTCCATCACAGGTGACAGCGACTTAGGAAGACAAACACCATCACTCCAAATGCCTGTCTACAGTCTCCTTCTCCCTACTTTATGCACTGAGCATATGATGGTCGTCTGGAATGTCCCTTTGGTTAGTTTGGGTCTCCTCTCCTGGCTGTGTCTCCTCCCAACCTCCCAGGCACCCCCAACTTCCTTACCAGAATGGAGTACAAAAAAGAAACAATGTAGAAATGAAGAAAAGGCTTTGGCTGTGTGAAAGCCGTGTTCAGCAGTAGCAGAAACATCTCTGTATTATCAACTCTTGTGTTCAGCACTAATCTAATACACAGGACTATACCAGCCACTGTGAAGAAAGTTAACTCCACCTCAGCCAGGAGCAGCACACCTACACAAGTGTTTGGAACATTGTATTCAATTAATTATCATAACTAAAATATTGGAACAGCACTAAAATAGTGCTGCGTTGGTATTAAGTTATATTTCTTTATTGTTCTGTTCTTTCCCACTGAACACATCATATACCAAATGACGCTGTAGGGTTAAGTTGTTGCTCTTGCTTATCACACTTTGTGACAGATGACTTTGCAACTTAAAGTTTCAAAGTTCTCATCTCCTCCAGGCTACACACATAGCTGTTTCTGCCTATCTTCAGATATGTAATCTAATTTTAATTAAGTTTTGCTTGGTTATAGGAAGATGTGCCTAGCCCTCCAAAAACATATGGTTCAGATCCTGAATTCCCTCCTGTACCCCCTAATGTTTTCAAGATCTTGCTACATGGGAAACTATTAATATCTATGGTTAAGAATTAGAGTTACAATAAAACTGTAACGTATTTTGAAGGAATAGTAGCACTGCTGGCTTACAGTAAGTAAAATAAATTCATTATGCCTATGAGGTCTCCAAACATGTAGGGTTTATAAATTTAAAAGATTGGAGACAGATGGACTTGCTTATCATATTTTGAATATTTTGCAAGAGCTGTGGTTATATCCAAAATGCCCAGAGTGTTCTCCAACAAAGATGGTGGGAGGACCTGAAAAGTTTTTTGGTAACTCTTGGCTGGCAGCTGAAATGTGAGATTGCTGAACAAAACCTCCTCTTAGAGGTGGTCTGAATCTCATTAGCTTCTCACTTTTAAACACTTTATTAATGCATTTCCTGTAAAAACACATGTTCCTGGTTTACCCTGTTGGACTGTTTCTCCAGGAAAATTATATACCCTAGGCATGGGCACATGGTCAGCACCTCACCAGTATGGTGGTGCCTGGACATCTCCTACTTCCCAAGGGAAACAGAAGTGCCAAATTCTGATTGGATTGAAGAACCCTAATACCGTACTTGCATCATTTACTCTATAGTACTTTGACATCTAGAATTCGTTCCTGTGCAGAGTCAACTGGAAACTTATTTGCCTCATGATTCTTAGTGTGGTTTGAAAGAAAGGAAAATTATAAAAAGAAAACACAAAACACTGCTTGGGTTAGCTCCAAGACTATTTCATTTCAACTTCCTACCAGTAACCATAATGGTCTCTAGAGAAAGTTGCACAAAATTACTTGTAATGGGAAAAAACTATGGTCTTCTGGCCTCAGCACTGGTAAGAGAGGCAGCTTTGTGATAGATTCCTAGTGTGATAGCACAAATCTTTTCAGATTACAGGGCCTCAATTATTTCCCTGATATTCTGTCAAGAAAGGAACATATGAATGTCCCCAAAATGCCACCTAAAATGTTTTCTTAGTCATAACTTTGGATAGCAAGATTTCTGGTATATGGGCTATTTCTGCAATACAATTCAGTGTTTCACAGTAGTGCAAACTTATTCTGCAAATTTCAGCGGTTTTTCTAATAAGGAAGAATTAAAAAAGTTCTTGCAACAGAGTTGCAAGTTCTTTCTCAGTTTCTGTTTGTTCTGACAGCTGGAGCACCATGGAGAGCAGAGCCAAGCGCTGAGGAGATGCTACACACACAGCTTGCTAACATCAAGATGACTTGCAAGCCTCTGAACTTGGCAAACCATAGGCAGCATCCCAGATGTGCAGCTGAGGAATCGGGTCAGCCACCAGGCCAAGTGAGAGGGTAGAAAGACGAAGCGTAGCACTGCAGCTCAGCCTTTACGGTGGAATGGTGGACACCTGGTTCTCCTTGTCCTAGAGATGCTGTGTGAGACATCCAAAAAGCCTTCTGCAGACACAGGCATACTCTGTGCTCAGAGCCAGCCACAACCCAGCAGGAGGAAGGTGTTTGAAGCAAATTGAAGGCCTTGCCTTGATGCTACATCTCCATGATTCCTAGTTTATTGAGCATGAGGATGGCACCCACTCAGTTACCTGCAGAAAATGTCTCTGTGAAATTGAGAATACAATTGAATCTTCCCTCATAGTATTTCACCATCTCTGTAGGCATGAGTGAGTACAGGCCTATTTGATTTAACTTTCTGTGCAGATGCACAGCATCTCTAGGGCTTAACACAGTAGTGTATAATGTATTCTACAGCTGCTCTTTGAATAAGATTTGTGAAACACTACATCATAAACAAATATTTATTGAAGAAGAAAATGTAATGATCATAATATTGATATATGGCTGAACTTGTCAAAGAATTTCAGTTGAGATTTCAATATGATTCCTCTTTCATTTCAGATTACTGCATGCTGCAGAATGAACCAAGACAGAGCACCTCAGACCAAAAAATAGGTTTGCCCCATCAAAAGAGAAATTTTACCACAGAACCATAGTCCAGAATAGCTGTTTCTAGTTGTTCTAGTTGCCACTCAAAGCTGTAAACCTCTGAATCTGAGCCAGAAAAGCAAGGCTCCCTTTGAGTGCATAACCAATTGCAGATTGAATTATGGATGGTCAGAGTCCAATATGATGATGTTTAACAAGTGCCCAGTCCTGCATTTTGGCCACAATAACCCCCTGCAGTGCTACAGGCTGGGGACAGTGTGGCTGGACAGTGTTCAGGCAGAAAGGGACCTGGGGGTGCTGGTGACAGCCGGTTGAACATGAGCCAGCAGTGTGCCCTGGTGCCCAAGAAGGCCACCAGGCCAGGCCTGTGTCAGGAATAGTGCAGCCAGCAGGAGCAGGGAGGTGGTTCTTCCCCTGTACTTGAGATTGGTGAGGCTTCACCTTGAGTGCTGTGTCCAGTTCTGGGCCCTCAGTTCAGGAAGGAACTTGAGACACTTGAGCGCATCCAGAGGAGGGCAACGAGGCTGGAGAGGGGCTTGGAACACAAACCCTGTGAGGAATGACTGAGGGAGCTGGGGTTGTTTAGCCTGGAGAAAAGGAGACTCAGAGGTCACCTTATCACTCTCTACAACCTCCTGAAATGTGGTTGTAGTCAGGTGCGGGTTGGTCTCTTTCATAAGGCAGCAACTGACAGAACAAGAGGTCACAGTCTCAAGCTGCGCCAACGGAAATACAGGTTGGATATTAGGAAAATTTTTATTATGGAAAGAGTGATAAAGTACTGGAATGGTCTGCCCAGGGAGGTAATGGAGTCACCACACATCCCTGGATGTGTTTAAGAAAAGGTTGGATGTGGCACCTGGTGCCATGGGTTTAGTTGAGGTGTTAGGACATGGGTTGGACTCGATGATCTCTAAGGTCTCTTCCAACCTCATAATTCTGTGATTCTGTGATATGCCACCTCCTCTGGTGAAACATGATGTACATAACATTCAGGAATACAAGGTCAATTATGTTTCATTTGATGGCCTCACTACACACAAATTTTCTTACCTGGGTGGGCTGGTTAGCCAACCAAACTTCCAAAACTATACCAGACAAAGCCAGTCCCTGTCTTCCTTTCTCCTCTACAACTGAATTTCAGAAAAAACACCAAGCTTGACTACAGTCTCTTGTATTCATCAGAAAACCTGATGTATATCTTTCTCATCTGGATAAAATGGACCTTCACACCACTATTTGGACACATTGGAAACACCCAAATGAAAAGCCAGCCAAGTTGTGTCAATCTTTGGCCCAGCTTAATAAAATTACTGAGCCATTTAATAGCTCTTCTATAGTGAAAGAAGACTATAAGCCTTGGCTATGAAATAGACTAAAACCTATCACTCATGCTCCAAACTTTCCCAGAAAAACCAATAGATTCCTTGGCTGTGTTTTGGACCCATCAAGGGCCTCATTCTCTCACAGTTATGTAAACCTATAAACCTGTCTGGTCAGGCCCAAATAATTGCACTCTCCTAGATGGTAAAACAACCTACACTCCCAGTTACACACCAAGGGGCTTTGTTAGATGCCTGGTCCTTACAAAGACCCACATCTTTGAGAAAACTGATGCTGACAGCTTGATTTTGTTTGGTACCTTCTTTTATACCAGTTGCTAGTTTCATATATAGGAGAACTTTTAAAATAAACTTAATACCCTGGCACTGACTTTTTTGGGTTAATTTATACAAGTGAAGAACATAAAATCCAGGGAAAAGACATATTGATTTTTGTTTCTCTGCATTTTTTTAGTTTTTCCCACCTAACTCTTGCTTATTAATTGAGAGATGTCCTCCTCCTGAGGCAGTAATAGAAAGATCTCTTAGTAATAAACTTTATTATTGATGTAAAGGGGGTTCAGCTATATCCATAAAAACAGAGGTAAAACAGGTGAATTGCATGATGTGAAGTCACATGTAAAAGTCATTGCTGGATAACAAAATCTAAGATCTGGCCTTTTTCAGTGTTCCTATCAAAGACACATACAAAAGGTACAATTACTGGATAAATATTGAATATTGCACCTTCATAAATTGTGTCACTATGCTGTCCAGAACTAGGCTATCAGATGGGAGGTTTTTGTGCCAAAAATGCCATCCTAGGCTGACACCTTGTAAGAGAACTTTTCAGTAAAAGCTCCTCACTTCAGGGTTCTGGATGGGTACCAGAAACATCAAAGAGTTGAAGTTGTCACATGTTGCTACAACTCAGCCAGCAACTAGGGTTGCATTATGTTTTGAATAAGGCCATTATTAAGCTTCTGACCTGAACTGTTCATTTCTTTGTCCAAAGTGCTTTCTGTAGGCCTATGAGTGTTCTATTAGCACTATGAAACTTCCTGACTTCATAAGCCCATTCTACTTTCCTAAATCCTCCTCTCCCTTACTCTTGGCAGCTCTGGCTTTTTCCTGAGTATTTAGCTCAAGTGCTAGCTAAAGTTGTTGCATGCTTGATGATTCTTGTGGGTCCCTTCCAACTCAGAGTATTCTATTTATATATGATTCTATGAATCTGTGAAAGGCTTGCATCTGACCATCAAAGCAGCATTTAAAGAGGAAGATAATTTTCTGTGTAAAGGTATTTTAAAACTTTGGAAAAGCTTTGAAACCTGTTGGGATAGAAATTCTTCTTAAGTGCTGGCAAGTTAAATCCAAACACATTCCATCTGAAAACATGAATGCTTAACCCTGAGGGTGGGAAGCCACTGGAACAATACCTTAGGGGCACAGTGGTTCTGCTTCACTTGAAGTCCTCAAATCAGTCCTAGAGGCCTTTTCTAGACATGTGACCTAGTCCAATGAAAAATTATGTTCCTTGCAACAGGAAAAACTAGGCAAATCTCTACAGATTACACTGTACAAATGGGCCAAACTATGCAATCTTTGATGACTTCACACAGCCTTCAGAAATTCAGTAATCTGTAAAATATTCACTCACCTGTGGTGAGATATTGACCTAGGGTATGTTTGTCCTTTTTTTCCCCAGCTCCTCCTATTTTACCAGCCAGTCTTTTTGAATCTTAATTTCTTTAATACAGAATTTCTAAAAGAAAATACTTTTTCTTCCCCACCTGTTTTTCACTAGTTGTTTATCTGATTTTATTTATCAACCTGTAATTCTGCCAATTCTGAAAGAGAATTTATCTGAAAAAAACAGTTAAAGCTTGTCACTGCAGAAAAGATTGTTCTTTTATGCATAAGAGCTCTCCAACTGTTCTTTCAGCTCTTTGATATGTGACTGGGAGGGAGCACAGAGCAAGGAGATACTAGTGTGTAAATTTATCTTTATTACAGGTTTATGTGGATCTTTTTTGCTGGGTTGAAGTTAGTCTTATCAAGCTCAATAGCTATGCAATATGCCACGTAACACTAGTAATTGCTGGGTTTTGAACATTAAAAATGGGAATCTTGATTTTCCATGCAGTGGACCAGCTCACACTAGCATCAAGCAGACATGACTGATTTAAATCCAATACTTTTAGAGCATGAGACACAGACTTGGCTTTTTTTTTTTTTTTTCTGTTTTGTATACCTGTGTGTTAAAAACTTATTAAAAAAAAATATGATAACACTACAGAACAAAGTGATTTCTGTTTTTTTGACTAAAGGTGTGGTTCCACAGAAGTTAAGGCCAATTAAAGCTTGGGCTGCTGCACATTTTGTCCTCCTAAAGCTGCTTGGTTTCCCATTCTCCCACTTTTGGTAGTAACATTAATGCTGTCTGACTGCATGATGGGCTAAATCAGAAGGCTTACCTGGTTGGGTGCAAATCAGTATTTTGGTAAGATTAAAACCCATTTATTTATTTTCCCTGAATGAAATGAGCTCATGACACAAATGTGCAGTTATCAGCTTAGGTGCAGATGATCAGTAAAGAATCACATGGATCAGGTAGCCCAGACTTGACTTGGCAGTCCTCCCTTTGCTCAGTAGCGCATTTAAAGTAAACCAACATTTTCGGCATCTAAAGTTTAATTTTATTTGCATTAGGCAGTGTCATTAGAAGATCAGTATAAGAGAAATACAGATTGTTATATAATTATAATTTGGGATAGAAATGGAGGTGTTTAACACAGAAAATAAAGTTGGTCTGCTCTACAGTACACAGAATTTGGTTACTGTTTTCATGCAGAATGAGGTCATGGATAAAGATGAGGAGAAGTTAATTTTACCTGATGTTCATGCCAATCAAATTTTATTTTTTCTTAGTCATCACCTTCTCAGAAAGAGGGAAGAACAAGTCAGATACCCTGAGAAAGAGCTTAAAACACCACTGAACTGCACTACAGGCTTGTGTAATTGCTTTTGAAGTTACATAGTGGAGGAGGAGGAGAATGAAGTTACCTACAAGCATGGCAGAACCAGGTGCTAGTTCTACAGAAGCAAGCACTTGTTCAGAAACCTCTCAGGTGCTCTGTAGAGATCTTGCCTGTTTTATAGGAGAGTAGGGAGCTAAAACAGACTACTGCCTTTGGCCCGACTTCTAGTGTTGATAGCAGCCTTGAGGAGCTTATAGATGTCAACTGGACCCAACCCGTAGGGAATGTGTTTCCTTCCTTGGGTCAAAGTAAGAAACATCCCAAGAAGCTTCCTATATTGGTACAGCCAACTGATTATCACCTACTGCTGGCATTCCAGGTAAGTACTGATGACATCCCAATAAGGCAGCTGTGGATGGTCAAAAGCGACCTCAGGGCCTGGGGATGACTGGTCAAGAGATCTGGAGCACAAGCTGTATTTTCTTCTGTCCTGCCAGTTACAGGGAATGATGGGGCAAAACCCAGAAAGATCCCACATGGCTTGAAGAGGAAGGAAAGAAGGAAGGAAGGAAGGAAGGAAGGAAGGAAGGAAGGAAGGAAGGAAGGAAGGAAGGAAGGAAGGAAGGAAGGAAGGAAGGAAGGAAGGAAGGAGGGAGGGAGGGAGGGAGGGAGGGAGGGAGGGAGGGAGGGAGGGAGGGAGGGAGGGAGGGAGGGAGGGAGGAAGGGAGGGAGGGAGGAAGGAAGGAAGGAAGGAAGGAAGGAAGGAAGGAAGGAAGGAAGGAAGGAAGGAAGGAAGGAAGGAAGGAAGGAAGGAAGGAAGGAAGGAAGGAAGGAAGGAAGGAAGGAAGGAAGGAAGGAAGGAAGGAAGGAAGGAAGGAAGGAAGGAAGGAAGGAAGGAAGGAAGGAAGGAAGGAAGGAAGGAAGGAAGGAAGGAAGGAAGGAAGGAAGGAAGGAAGGAAGGAAGGAAGGAAGGAAGGAAGGAAGGAAGGAAGGAAGGAAGGAAGGAAGGAAGGAAGGAAGGAAGGCTTTCCCTTGGTTTGGATTGGGTTAGGGAACACCTAGGCAAACCTGTCATCCACAAATCCATGGGTGCTAGCAAGATACATCCAGAAACACTGAGAGACCTAGCACACAGTATAGCTGAGTTGCTTATGGTCATCATTGAAACATCATGAGGGGTGCCTGAGGACTGGAAAAAAGCAAGTGTCAGCCTAGTCTTCACAAAGGGCAAGAAGGAGGATCAGCCAATCCCCCTCACCTCAATCCCTGAAAAGGTGATGGAGCGCCTCATTCTGGAAGTCAGTTCTATCTATGGGTGACAAGAAGGAGATCAGGATGGAGTCACCATGGATTCAGCAAAGGAACATCATGCATGGCCAATCTGATTGCTTTCCACAGTGAAACAACTGCCTGGATTGCTGGATGAGGGGAGCGCAGTGGATGTTGTTCTACCTAGACTTCAGCGAGGCTTTTGACGCCGTCTCCCACAACAACCTCATAGGCAAAGTCAGGAAGGGGACAGCCTGGATAAGTGAGGTGAACTGAGAACTGTCTGAATGGCAGATCCCAGGGGATTGTTATGAGTGGCACAGGGTCTGGTTGGAGGCCTGTCACAAGCCGTGACCCCCCAGGTTCAAGAGTGGGCCTGCTATTGTTTCACTTCTCCCTCAGTGACTTGGATGGAGGGCAGGTGCCTCCTCAGCAAGTTCCCTGCTGACACAGAGCTGGGAGCAGCGGCCGATAGCCCAGAGGGCCGGGCAGCCCTTCAGAAGGGCCTCGACAGCTGCAGAGATGGGCAGGGAAGAACTGCCTGAGATTCAACAAAGGCAAATGCAGGGTCCTGCGCCTGGGGAGGAAGAACCCCAGGCACCAGCACAGGCTGGGGCTGATCTGCTGGAAAGCAGCTCTGAGGAGAAGGACCTGGGCTTCCTGGTGGGCAGCAAGCTGTCCATGAGCCAGCAGTGTGTCCTGGTGGCCAGGAAGGCCAATGGTGTCCTGGGGTGCACTGGGAAGAGCAGTGCCAGCAGGTTGGGGGAGGTGATCCTGGCCCTCTGCCCAGCCCTGGTGAGGCACATCTGGAGTGCTGTGTCCAGTTCTGGGCTCCTGAGGACAAGGGAGACACAGAGCTGCTGGAGCTGGTCCAGAGGAGGGTGACAAAGATGATGGGGGGACAGG